CGCAATGTGAACTACAAACTTATCTCGCAAGAGTAGCCAATAAAAATTGTTCACATATCTGTAGATTCGCAGGCTCCAGGAGGGCGTGAATATCATCATTTTGAAAATCGAAAAATACTTACAGTGTTTCCATCCATGTTTGACGAACCTTAAAACAAGAACAAAGAGATCCTAAGGTCTCTTGATACTGTCACGCAGAGACATGCTTGTCGCCATTGCAACTATGAAAAAAATTACTAATTCACGTTGAATAAAAAAATTCAGAGAGTTTCAAATTTCGATTTTTACTTGGTTGGCACATCGCTGTTTAACACAAAAATCAACATGTTTCTTTGGCGCATGCGCGACTTCAAAACAACGCACCCCCGGTAATATGTGCACTAAGTACTTTGCTTTGCGATGACACGATCTCAGAGAGTGTCACAGAGCACATACTTTTCCCTTCGAATAAAAATGCACAAATTTAAATTGTCCACAAAATTGCAAAAATTCGTGATTTTCCAAATTGTTCATTTTTCGGCGCCATGTTTGAGGCGTAATAAAAAAATGAACTAATGGCCATATTTTCTTCACTTTCGCAATGTTAACTACAAACTTATCTCGCAAGAGTAGCCAATAAAAATTGTTCACATATCTGTAGATTCGCAGGCTCCAGGAGGGCGTGAATATCATCATTTTGAAAATCGAAAAATACTTACAGTGTTTGCATCCATGTTTGACGAACCTTAAAACAAGAACAAAGAGATCCTAAGGTGTCTTGATACCGTCACGCAGAGAAATGCTTCTCGCCATTACAACTATGAAAAAAAATTACCAATTCACGTTGAATAAAAAAATTCAGAAAGTTTGAAATTTTGATTTTTACTCGGTTGGCACATCGCTGTTTAACACCAAAACCAACATGTTTCTTTGGCGCATGCGCCACATCAATAAAACGCACCCCCGGTAATATGTGCACTAAGTACTTTGCTTTGCGATGACACGATCTCAGAGAGTGTCACAGAGCACATACTTTTCTCTTCCAATAAAAATGCACAAATTGAAATTGTCCACAAAATTCCAAAATTCGTGATTTTACAAATTGCTCATATTTTCGGCGCCATGTTTGAGGCATAATAAAAAAATGAACTAATGGCCATATTTTCTTTACTTTCGCAATGTGAACTACAAACTTATCTTGCAAGAGTAGCCAATAAAAATTGTTCACATATCTGTAGATTCGCAGACTCCAGTGGGGCGTGAATATCATCATTTTGAAAATCGAAAAATACTTACAGTGTTTGCATCCATGTTTGACGAACTTTAAAACAAGAACAAAGAGATCCTAAGGTATCTTGATACTGTCACGCAGAGACATGCTTGTCGCCATTACAACTGTGAAAACAATTTAGCAATTCACGTTGAATAAAAAATTCAGAGAGTTTGAAATTTTGATTTTTACTCGGTTGGCACATCGCTGTTTAACACCAAAACCAACATGTTTCTTTGGCGCATGCGCAACAGCAAAAAAACGCCCTCCCGGTAATATGTGCCCTAAGTACTTTGCTTTGCGATGACACGATCTCAGAGAGTGTCACAAAGGACATACTTTTCCCTTCCAATAAAAATGCACAAAATTAAATGTCCACAAAATTGAAAAATTCGTGATTTTACAAATTGCTCATTTTTTCGGCGCCATGTTTGAGGCATAATAAGAAAATGAACTAACAGCCATATTTTCTTTACTTTCGCAATGTGAACTACAAACTTATCTTGCAAGAGTAGCCAATAAAAATTGTTCACATATCTGTAGATTCGCAGACTCCAGTGGGGCGTGAATATCATCATTTTGAAAATCGAAAAATACTTACAGTGTTTGCATCCATGTTTGACGAACTTTAAAACAAGAACAAAGAGATCCTAAGGTATCTTGATACTGTCACGCAGAGACATGCTTGTCGCCATTACAACTGTGAAAACAATTTAGCAATTCACGTTGAATAAAAAATTCAGAGAGTTTGAAATTTTGATTTTTACTCGGTTGGCACATCGCTGTTTAACACCAAAACCAACATGTTTCTTTGGCGCATGCGCAACAGCAAAAAAACGCCCTCCCGGTAATATGTGCCCTAAGTACTTTGCTTTGCGATGACACGATCTCAGAGAGTGTCACAAAGGACATACTTTTCCCTTCCAATAAAAATGCACAAAATTAAATGTCCACAAAATTGAAAAATTCGTGATTTTACAAATTGCTCATTTTTTCGGCGCCATGTTTGAGGCATAATAAGAAAATGAACTAACAGCCATATTTTCTTTACTTTCGCAATGTGAACTACAAACTTATCTGGCAAGAGTAGCCAGTAAAAATTGTTCGCATATCTGTAAATTCCCAGGCTCCAGGAGGGCGTGAATATCATAATTTTCAAAATCGAAAAATACTTACAGTGTTTGCATCCAAGTTTGACGAACCTTAAAACAAGAACAAAGAGATCCTAAGGTATCTTAATACTGTCACGCAGAGACATGCTTCTCGCCATTACAACTGTGAAAAAAATTACCAATTCACGTTGAATAAAAAAATTCAGAGAGTTTGAAATTTCGATTTTTACCCGGTTGGCACATCGCTGTTTAACACAAAAATCAACATGTTTCTTTGGCGCATGCGCGACTTGAAAAAAACGCACCCCCAGTAATATGTGCACTAAGTACTTTGCTTTGCGATGACACGATCTCAGAGAGTCTCACAGAGCACATACTTTTCCATTCCAATAAAAATGCACAAAATTAAATTGTCCACAAAATTGCAAAAATTCGTGATTTTACGAATTGCTCATTTTTTCGGCGCCATGTTTGAGGCGTAATAAAAAAATGAACTAATCGCCATATTTTCTTTACTTTCGCAATGTGAACTACAAACTTATCTCGCAAGAGTAGCCAATAAAAATTGTTCACAGATCTGCAGATTCGCAGGCTCCAGGAGGGCGTGAATATCATCATTTTGAAAATCGAAAAATACTTACAGTGTTTGCATCCAAGTTTGACGAACCTTAAAACAAGAAAAAAGAGATCCTAAGGTTTCTTGAAACTGTCACGAAGAGACATGCTTCTCACGATTACACCTATGAAAAAAATTTACCAATTCACGTTGAATGAAAAAATTCAGGGAGTTTGAAATTTCGATTTTTACCCGGTTGGCACATCGCTGTTTAACACAAAAATCAACATGTTTCTTTGGCGCATGCGCGACTTGAAAAAAACGCACCCCCAGTAATATGTGCACTAAGTACTTTGCTTTGCGATGACACGATCTCAGAGAGTCTCACAAAGCACATACTTTTCCATTCCAATTAAAATGCACAAATTAAATTGTCCACAAAATTGCAAAAATTCGTGATTTTACGAATTGCTCATTTTTTCGGCGCCATGTTTGAGGCGTAATAAAAAAATGAACTAATCGCCATATTTTCTTTACTTTCGCAATGTGAACTACAAACTTATCTCGCAAGAGTAGCCAATAAAAATTGTTCACAGATCTGCAGATTCGCAGGCTCCAGGAGGGCGTGAATATCATCATTTTGAAAATCGAAAAATACTTACAGTGTTTGCATCCAAGTTTGACGAACCTTAAAACAAGAAAAAAGAGATCCTAAGGTTTCTTGAAACTGTCACGAAGAGACATGCTTCTCACGATTACACCTATGAAAAAAATTTACCAATTCACGTTGAATGAAAAAATTCAGGGAGTTTGAAATTTCGAATTTTACTCGGTTGGCACATCGCTGTTTAACACCAAAACCAACATGTTTGTATGGCGCATGCGCGACGTCAGAAAAACGCACTCCCGGTAATATGTGCACTAAGTACTTTGCTTTGCGGTGACATGATCTCAGAGAGTGTCACAGAGCACATACTTTTCCCTTGCAATAAAAATGCACAAATTTAAATTGTCCACAAAATTGCAAAAATTCGTGATTTTACAAAATGCTCATTTTTTGGCGCCATGTTTGAGGCATAATAAAAAATGAAGTAGTGGCCATATTTTCTTTATTTTCCCCATGTGAACTACAAAGTTATCTGGCAAGAGCGTTCAAGAAACATTTTCCAAATATCTGTAGATTCAAAGACTCCAGTGGGGCGTGAATATCATCATTTTGAAAATCGAAAAATACTTACAGTGTTTGCACCCATGTTTGACGAACCTTAAAACAAGAACAAAGAGATCCTAAGGTATGTTGATACTGTCACGCAGAGACATGCTTCTCTCCATTACAACTATGAAAAAAATTACCAATTCACGTTGAATAAAAAATTCAGAGAGTTTGAAATTTCGATTTTTACTCGGTTGGCACATCGCTGTTTAACACCAAAACCAACATGTTTCTATGGCGCATGCGCGCCGTCATAAAAACGCACCCCCGGTAATATGTGCACTAAGTACTTTGCTTTGCGATGACACGATCTCAGAGAGTGTCACAGGGCACATACTTTTCCCTTGCAATAAAAATGCACAAATTTAAATTGTCCACAAAATTGCAAAAATTCGTGATTTTACAAAATGCTCATTTTTTGGCGCCATGTTTGAGGCATAATAAAAAATGAACTAGAGGCATATTTTCTTTATTTTTCCCATGTGAACTACAAAATTATCTGGGAAGAGCGTCCAAGAAAAATTTTCCAAATAACTGTAGATTCGAAGACTCCAGAGGGGCGTGAATATGATCATTTTGAAAATCGAAAAATACTTACAGTGTTTGCACCCATGTTTGACGAACCTTAAAACAAGAACAAAGAGATCCTAAGGTATGTTGATACTGTCACGCAGAGACATGCTTCTCTCCATTACAACTATGAAAAAAATTACCAATTCACGTTGAATGAAAAAATTCAGAGAGTTTGAAATTTCGATTTTTACTCGGTTTGCACATCGCTGTTTAACACCAAAACCAACATGTTTCTATGGCGCATGCGCGGCGTCATAAAAACGCATCCCCGGTAATATGTGCACTAAGTACTTTGCTTTGCGATGACACGATCTCAGAGAGTGTCACAGAGCACATACTTTTCCCTTGCAATAAAAATGCACAAATTTAAATTGTCCACAAAATTGCAAAAATTCGTGATTTTACAAAATGCTCATTTTTTGGCGCCATGTATGAGGCATAATAAAAAATGAACTAAAGGCATATGTTCTTTATTTTTCGCATGTGAACTACAAAATTATCTGGCAGGAGCGTCCAAGAAAAATTTTCCAAATAACTGTAGATTCGAATACTCCAGAGGGGCGTGAATATGATCATTTTGAAAATCGAAAAATACTTACAGTGTTTGCACCCATGTTTGACGAACCTTAAAACAAGAACAAAGAGATCCTAAGGTATGCTGATACTGTCACGCAGAGACATGCTTCTCTCCGTTACAACTATGAAAAAAATTACCAATTTACGTTGAATGAAAAAATTCAGGGAGTTTGAAATTTCGATTTTTACTCGGTTGTCACATCGCTGTTTAACACCAAAACCAACATGTTTCTATGGCGCATGCGCGGCGTCATAAAAACTCACCCCCGGTAATATGTGCACTAAGTACTTTGCTTTGCGATAACACGATCTTAGAGAGTGTCACAGAGAACATACTTTTCCCTTGCAATAAAAATGCACAAATTTAAATTGTCCACAAAATTGCAAAAATTCGTGATTTTACAAAATGCTCATTTCTTGGCGCCATGTTTGAGGCATAATAAAAAATGAACTAGAGGCATATTTTCTTTATTTTTCCCATGTGAACTACAAAATTATCTGGCAACAGCGTCCAAGAAAAATTTTCCAAATAACTGTAGATTCGAAGACTCCAGAGGGGCGCGAATATCATCATTTTGAAAATCGAAAAATACTTGCAGTGTTTGCACCCACGTTTGACCAACCTTAAAACAAGAACAAAGATATCCGAAGGTATGTTGATACTGTCACGCAGAGACATGCTTCTCTCCATTACAACTATAAAAAAATTAACCAATTCTCGTTGAATGAAAAAATTCAGAGAGTTTGAAATTTCGATATTTACTCGGTTGGCACATCGCTGTTTAACACCAAATCCAACACGTTTCTTTGGCGCATGCGCGACATGAAAAAAACGCGCCCCCGGCAATATGTGCACTAGGTACTTTGGTTTGCGATGACACGATTTCAGAGACTGTTACAGAGCACATACGTTTCCCTTGCAATAAAAATTCACTATTTAAATGTCCACAAAATTGCAAAAATTCATGATTTTACAAAATGCTCATTTTTTCGGCGCCATGTTTGAGGCATAATAAAAAAATGAACTAATGGCCATATTTTTGTCACTTTTGCAGCGTGAACTACAAACTTATCTGGAAAGAGTAGTCAATAAAATTTGTTCACATATCTGTAGATTCGCAGGCTCCAGGAGGGCGTGAATATCATCATTTTGAGAATCGAAAAATACTTACAGTGTTTGCATCCATGTTTCACGAATCTTAAAACAAGAACGAAGAGGACGTAAGATATCTTGATACCGTCACGCAGAGACATGCTTCTCGCATTTAAAACTATGAAAAAATTACCAATTCACGTTGAATGAAAAAATTCAAAGAGTTTGAAATTTCGATTTTTACTCGGTTGGCACATCGCTGTTTAACACCAGAACCAACATGTTTCTATGGCGCATGCGCGGCGTCATAAAAACGCACCCCCGGTAATATGCGCACTAAGTACTTTGCTTTGCGATGCCACGATCTCAGAGAGTGTGACACAGCACATACTTTTCCCTTCCAATAAAAATGCACAAATTTAAATTGTCCACAAAATTGCAAAAATTCGTGATTTTGCAAAATGCTCATTTTTTGGTGCCATGTTTGAGGCATAATAAAAAATGAACTATTGGCCATATTTTCTTTATTTTTCCCATGTGAAATACAACGTTATCTGGAAAGAGCGTCCAAGAAAAATTTTCCAAATATCTGTAGAGTCGAAGACTCCAGAGGGGCGCGAATATCATCATTTTGAAAATCGAAAAATACTTACAGTGTTTGCACCCATGTTTGGCGAACCTTAAAACAAGAACAAAGACATCCTAAGGTATGTTGATACTGTCACGGAAAGACATGCTTCTGGCCATTACAACTATGAAAAACAATTACCAATTGACGTTGAAAAAAAAAATTCAGAGAGTTTAAAATTTCGATTTTTACTCGGTTGATACATCGCTTTTTAACCCCAAAACCAACATGTTCCTATGGCGCATGCGCGACGTCATAAAAACGCACTCCCGGTAATATGTCCACTAAGTACTCTGCTTTGCGATGACACGATCTCAGAGAGTGTCAAAGAGCACATACTTTTCCCTTCCAATAAAAATGCACAAATTTAAATTGTCCACAAAATTGCAAAAATTCGTGATTTTAAAAAAATGCTCATTTTTTGGCGCCATGTTTGAGGCATAATAAAAAATGAACTAATTGCCATATTTTCTTTATTTTTCCCATGTGAACTACAAAGT